AATTACAAAATAATATTATAATTTTCAGAATATAATATTTAATTAATATCATATATTAATTTAAATAATATTATTATAATAATTATGTTAATATAATATTAAATAATTATTTTATAAATATTATTAGGAATATAATAATAATACGATATCATAAGCAAAATAATAAAATAATATATATAATATATTATTATTATGTTATTTAAAATAAATTGTTTAAATTACATTTTGAATATAAACCCCTAGCTCCGGGGTTTTCCGTGAGGTTAACTGTTTTAGGATTTTATATCAATGGAGGACGGTAAGCCGGATCGATTGATACTAGTTTGGGGTCTACCCGACTTATGGTTCGGGAGTTAGGATTTTTCTTAGGTTTTTTTTGGACTTGTAATATTTTTCGAGAAAAAAAAAAAAAAAAAAGAGTACAGTTGTCGCGGGTATCGAACCCCGCGCCAATTTCTGCTAATCGTGCCGTATGCACCACTGCACCACGCTATTATTGCGAGCCCGATGGCGAAACATTCTATTTATCTATTTAATCGCTAAAGTAGAGAAATGTGTACCGCGGTTTGGCCATACGGTGTGAGCAAAGCGTCTGTTGTGCACTTATATACGGAGTGTTGCGGCGTTCGGTATTTCGAAATTTTGTCATCGCCAGTGCGCAGGCGCGGAGCGTCGTAGAAATATTTTGTAAACGGCTATGGGTTGTGCCTGGCCACGCGCTTATCATACTGAAAATTACCCCCTCCCCTTTTTTTTTTGTTTTAAGTATATCTCGGTCAGGTTTTAACTCATGTGCACCGTTTTTTCACCAACAAATTTGTTTCAAGACCCCCTAAATAGTCCCTCCATATTTGGGGTGCTTTCGACCCCCACCCTCAAAGTTATTTCGGAAAAACTCGGTATGTCGTCGTACGTTTCTGAAGTTTCGAGATTCCTATAGTGTGGAGGTCGGTGATTAAGTTCGGCGTCTTGTGTCGAGACCGTACGAGCCTTTTTTACCCGTCTTTGGGGGGTTCGTTTAGGGTAGGTAGCTGCGTTTTTCGGCACTAACACTTAGGTTTTGGGTGCTACGAGCCGATTTGTAGGCGGACTTTATAGAGCACTTTACGCCGGAACGATTGGCACCGAGATCGAGTTGATCCGACTTTTGGTTCGGGAGTTATGATTTTTAGAGTGTTTTTTGTACTTAGAAAATTACGTATTTACGTGTTTTTTAGATTTTTTTTTTTCGTCAGATCACTACAAAATTCTAGAATCTGATGATTTGGCGTACGAGGATTAAAAAAACGTCTATGGTCGAAGTACCTACGACCATTATTTCGCCCGCAATCGTAGTAGTAAAAAGTTTGAAAACAAATTATGCTATTATTTACGACCCAAGCGTCTCCTTATGGTATACGTCTGTATAACGTATCAAGTAATTAATGTTTTGAACTTTTTTTTCGAACTTATTTTAGTAGGCGTGTAGCTAGTTCGTTATTCATTAATGTAAATCGATAGGTGCTTAAGAATAATAGTTGGACATAACTTAATACTATAAATGTCAGGCATATATTAAATTCTTTTCGTGTTTTTCAGCCTATATTTATCACGTTTTTTTGGCTTTACGTAATTTTCTGAAATTGAGTTTTTTGCCGATGTCTTTTAAACTTTGAATACTGGTCTATCAACGCACGATGAGTATGTGTGTATGAGTGGTTTAAACGCGTAAGACCCTTATTTACCCCGTTATTTGGATGCTAAGAGGATAGGTAAACCGTTTGCGTGCTGTTTGGTGTAACTATCTTATCGTCACCACTCATCAGATATAATACCTATGTTATTTTTTTATTAAAAAAGAGTTCTTTTCGAATATGCCCGATTAAAATTGACCGTGCCCTCCATGGGTAGCATACCCTAATTAACAAGGGGGACTTAAGTCCTTGACTATTTTTTATTAAACTATGCTAAAATTGAATGTCAATGCATGTTTATTGAATTATGACTCTGAAGTGAGTACCTACATTAAAAAAAAAACAAAACAATTTTGAAAGTTTTATTTTATTATTACATTATATATTAATATTCTTAATATAAATAAACGTAGGATTAGTACAATTTACCAAGCTTTCAAATAAAAAACATTTTATTTTAATGTACCTACTCTTATGATAAATGTAAGTCAATTCTACGTTTATTTGTACTGAATATATATAAAATATCTTCAGTTTTTATTTCTGAAGTTAAGTCTCGTTCAATTTGTACTACAATTTGTTCAATATACTATTTTTAATTTTACGTTATTTTAAAAGCATAGACTATTAGAATTAGATAAAAGAAAACTAACCTAACGTAGGGGGACTGAACCACTAATTGGGGGGGACTGTAGTCCCCCTAGTCCCCCCTCATCCTAAGCCCATGGTGCCCTCCCACAACGTTCCGTGCAACGCGCGTCGAGCTAGGGACCTCGGGCACCGAGAAAACTCGCTTTTTCGACCCTCTCATCTCTGGAAGTCTGGCGGGCGAACGATAAGGCGTACGTCCGCGCGCGATGGCTCGTCGCACGCCGCTCGGTGAGACGAATCTAGGGATACCAGGCCCGACGAGTTCCGGCAAATAGCGGGTGAGTAACGCCGTTTCCCATATTTCCCCTATACCATATCACGGCCGCCCGGGGGGAAACGGAAAATACGTGCAAACATTGCTGTTATTCCTTTCGGCAAGGTACGCTCACTCGCGCAAGGTAGGCTCAACTGATGCGTTCTGTGATTGGCTGCAGATAGTCGTTGGCAACCGCGGTTGACCGACGGCGGTAGTATCACATCAGTGTTTACAGAAAACCATTAAACGAATAGTATATAGTATATACTATTATGATCTATGGACCGTGATTTGTGACTTGTGGACGCGTGTGTCGTGTGTTACTGTGTTTTATTATATTTATTATTTTATAACCAATATAACCTCTCTTAGCACTGTCGTAGTGTCGTGTCGTCTGTCTTTGCCGTTTGCTGTTTGTAGTTTTTTAAATATTAATCTGTGTCGATCTTTTGTGCTTCAAATTTAAAATTGAATAATATCTTCCTTTGGTAAGTAATTACATGAATACCTACCATTTTTAATTTTATGATATTTCATATTTCCAAATACAATTAAATGTAACTTGGTTGTAGGTACAGCAGAAACTCGATGAACAGTCACTCTCGACAATGAGTGACTGGATGATGACGGATAACAGAAAGTGACGGTTAATCGAGTTTCTACTGTACTATTAATCTTTAAAATGTTGATTGTTTTATCTTTATTAATGAGGTGGATGGGTTTAGATGAAAATCATGAACAATTACAGTTTATTAATATTGAACATAATTAATTATTTATTATACATGACGATGTTAAACACAATTAATCCACATGATCTCAATGACAGAGGCTCTCAGTCTGAGAACAATACAATTATTATGTACCTAACGTCTATGTCTACTACGAGGGGTAAATGACAGAAAGTTTGTACACCAGATTACTGATTTCAATGGTTATACCTATGGTTAACCATGATTTACTACAAAGATTACCTACGGTTACCCATGAATACCAATGATTACCCATAATTACCTATAATTACCATCACCTTATGTACACTGATTACCCCCAAGGTGTTTACCCCTCGGTCTACTATAGCATAGTTAACAATCATAATAATAATAACATTGATATGAATAATACTCAATTGTTATATTTATTAAGTAGGTATAATATAATAAAATATCTACCTTGACTAATAAGTTTTTAATGTGCATATTAGTACGGGTTAAAACTGTTTTAAATCCATAGATATTTGCTTCATACAGAATATACCTAGTTTGAGTTATTTTATTAGGTACCAGTAAAAATACAAAGTCTGTGGATATAAAATTGTTTAATACCTTCAAATAAACATACTATATTATACTAGGTTAGGTAGGTATACCTAGGTACTAAAATTGTAAGTATTATTGTGCAACAAATAAATAGGTACCTACCTACCTAACACAATAGTGAAATAGTTAATATATTATAGGTACAATCTATGCATTTTTAAATTTAAGTTTAATTATTTTATTTAATGGTAATAATAATATGTTCATTATTTATAAACTAAAGATAATACTGTTATACATATTTTGTGCAGCACTGGTGAAATAATTATTAAAGATATCTGATATTTCTTTTGAATTGTTAGAAATATATGTAATTCTTCCCCAGTGGCACTTTATATGAATTGGATAGGACATTTATTTTTTGAACGGTTATACATATAGTAATCTCTTTAATTATTTTCCAGTTTAATTTGGAGTTATGGCTTGCTCTGTCTAATTAAGATTGATATAATTTTGTATTGCTATTTGTATAGAGTTAGATAAGATATTTCTGTATTGTAGGTACCTATAGTGTTTTTTTAGTTTTTTGTTTGTAGGGTTTTTCTTTGTAGATAAGTGTAATTTGTCTATTGAAATACCTATTATTACCCTTTGAGGATATATTTGTATGGTTTAAGAGGACGTGATACCCGCATGTGTTGTCTCCGTCTTACAAGTGCGTAACATAGCAAATTATAGGCAAAGCAGAACACGTGTAGCTCCAATGCTCCATTAGCTTAAACATTTGAGTAAATTTACCTATTATAAAATCTAAAGGTAAGATTATTATCTAAACAACCTCATGGGCTTTTTTATATTATAATTTTAAAGTGAGTTACGATTTCTTTAAAATGTACGAACAATTTAAAATTTTGAAATACTCATAACTCGCTTTGAAATTAAAATGTAATAAAAAGCCCATGAGGTTGTCTAGATAATAATCTTACCTTTATATTTTATAAGAGGTCAATTCGCTCTAATTTTTAAGCTAACGGACCTACACGTGTTCTGCTTTGCCTATAATTTGCTATGTTACGCACTTGTAAGATGGAGACAACACATGCGGGTATCACTTCCTCTTAATAGGAACTACTGTTTTAATTTCTAATAGGTTTTTATAAAATGGATTTTGAAAAAAAATCACATTTAAGTGCTCGATCTAAAAGAAGACGAGTTCAAGAAGAATTGCAAAGTGACGATGGAGCTTTTTTAATGGGTGATTTGAATAATAGTCCAACTACATCAAAAAACAGGGAATCTTCTTTTCAAACAAACATTAATATTTGCTCTAGTCAACCAGTCTCTCTGCAATTAAATGAAACAATTGACAAATCTCCATCCTCTCAAAATCCTCAAGAAATAGAAAACTTAGATTTGATTTATGAGTTTTTAAATAACAAATCAAGCATATTGACTTCATCAGAATCAGAATCTGAACAAGATGAAGATAATTATATTAATGAAACAAGGTTATGTGATCAAACTTTTTTTTTTGGAACATGTATTGCTAAGTGGGCTGTCGACTTTAATATTCCACAAAATGCATTAAATAAACTACTAGTTCTTTTAAAACAACATAAATGCTTTAACGATTTACCTAAAGATTCAAGGACTATTTTACAATCGAAAACAGTTGAGCCATATAATTTTGATGCTGTTGAACCTGGAACATATCATCATTTTGGTCTATTGAATGGAATTAAAAACAATCTTCCAGAATGTTTGAAAGATGATACCGATATCCATATTGTGGTAGGCGTTGATGGTTTACCAATTTTCAAAAGTAATCCAGAACAATTTTGGCCTATACTAGCATACATTCGCCCAGAAAATAATAATGTATTTCTAGTTGGACTTTATTGTGGCAAAGTAAAACCTGCTGATAGTAACAGTTTTATTAAATCATTTATTGATGAGGCACTATTATTAAAAGATACTGGTATTTGTATTAATAATAAAGTGTATAATCTATATATAGATGTATTTTGCTGTGACGTGCCTGCAAAAACGTTTTTATTAAAGACCAAAGGACATTCTGGATTTTTTTCTTGTTCAAGGTGCGAACATGAAGGCAAATATTTATCAAATAGAATGTGTTTTCCTTTTTCTTCTCCTACAAGATGTCCACCTAAGAGGACACATCAAAATTATGTAATGCAATCAAATGAAGACCATCATGTTGGTGATATATCTCTCATATCCTCATTACCTTCATTTGATGTGGTCTCCGATTTTTCACTCGATTACATGTATTTAGTGTGCCTTGGTGTTGTTCGGAAATTGATTCTATTGTGGATTAAAGGTCCGGTTAGTATTCGATATCCTTCATGGAGAATAAAAGAAATATCAATACATCTTGAAGATATTAAAGCTAATATTCCATGTGAGTTTGCAAGAAAAACTCGTAAGCTAGATGAAGTGAATCGTTGGAAGGCAACAGAGTTCCGTTTGTTTCTGTTGTATGTTGGTACTATTGTTACTAAAAATGTATTAACTGTCGAACATTGGAAACATTTTTTTGGTTTAAATGTAGCAATGATTATACTTCTCAGTCCAGACCACGCTCAATTTATAAATATTGCCAGAAAATTGTTAGACAATTTTGTGAGAAAATTTGAAAATATTTATGGTCCGCATCTGATATCCCATAATGTACATGGTTTGACACATATTTGTGACGATTATGAAAAGTTTGGGCCACTTGACAACTGTTCTGCATTTCCATTTGAGAATTTTATGGGTTCCCTGAAGAAAATGTTAAGGAAACCCGATAAGCCTTTACAACAGATTGTCAAAAGATATAATGAAATTTGTCATTTAAAAACTAAAATTCAAACTAAAATTGCCCCATATCAACTTTGTGGACCACATGTACGTGGACCAATATTAGAGAATGCATTAAAAGGAGACCAGTTTACTTCTGTTGTATTAAAAATGAAAATAAAAACGCACATAGAAGCTGACTCCTACCTACTTACTAGTGATGATAATGTTGTAAAAGTTTTTAATATAATATGCAACCAATATTTAGATGATGTTATTTTAATATGTAAAAAATTCAAAAACCAACACATAATGTTTAATGATCCCATAAAATCATCAAAATTAGGCATTTATATAGTTGATAAATTATGTAATAATTTTATTTGGTATAAAATTAGTAGTATTAAAAAAAAAGTTATGCTCTTACCTCATATTAACAATACATTTATTGCTCTACCAATTGTTCATTCTACTGAAATATAAACTTTTTATTGTTAAACTCATAAACCTAATACCCATACAATTGTGTTTCCTATTATTATAAGACAATATTAAATGTATTATTCAGTTTTACTATTAAAAATTAATACCATTATATAAGATAATAATATTTACCTATTTTGAGTGACCTATATAATATTACTATTTTTATTTATTTATTTTATATTGTAACTAAGAAAAATATTAATTATAATTTACCGTAATTTACAGTATAATAATGTGGTCAATCGTTGCTTTTGATGCAGACAACACTGTAGAAGTTGTACCATCAAATTGGTTTCATAATAATGTATGTGCATGGCCCAAAAAAAATTTGAGATCATACATTGACAATCAAGTATCACCAAATGAAAAATGTTTTCGTTATTTAAATGCTCGCAAATTAGGAAAAGATTTAAGTATGAACTTATTTTTTAATTTTTATAAATTTTAAGTACCTAGTGAATTATGTTATTGTTTGTTTCACTAAATTTACAGTTAGTTATAAAATTGCCGAGGAAAAGGCCAATCTGGGTAAACAGACATCTGATTTGTCAACAAATGAATCTTCTCAAGAACATTTTGATACAAATAAACTGAAATTAAAAAGAAAGATATCTCTTGAAAAAGTAACTAAAGATAATAAAGGTTTATGGAGCCCAGATTCTGGTGATATTTTTGGTAAACATTATTTATCATAAATTATTTAAAATGTTAATAGAACTATATTATGTTTGTGACTTTGTTAAATACTTATTGAATCAAATTTTATTTAATAATTTCAGATGATAGCGATGTTGATCCTCTATACTCACCGCCAGTATTGAAGAATAATGTCCAAGGTAAAATATATATTATATTTGCATATTGTTGAAAAAGTAAACATTTATCATGTTTTACATATATTATGTATATGATTACTAACATGTAACGGTACATATTATTATATTTGCATGTTCAATATGTATATTATTGTTATATAATATATATAATAACATCCTAGAGTATTTATATTTACCCATATTTTACGTAATTATATCTATTATATAATAGTTATTACTTTTGTTTATTTTAAAATGAATTACTAATTAATATTTCCCTTAAAAATTACTTATTATAGTTAGTAATATTTTTAATTTAACAGTATTCCGTAGTGTATATATACTACTTTGCAAGATTTTTGGAAAATGTATTATTTACATCTATCATTTTGTAATATTAAATACTATTAGAACTTGTTATAGGTGAATTGTCATCACCAAAACATCCTTCAGCAATCTTACCAGTATTGGCTAGAAAAAAGTTAGACTTTGACATTTGTTCTTCAGGTGGTCCAAACAAGATAAAAAAACTAAAAACCGTGGCTGGTAAATAAATAAATGATTATTATTTTAACTTTTTCTTGTTTAATGCAGACACGCATACAGTGTCAAACAATTTAAATGGTAAAACACATTCATTACAATTAAAAATAACTATTGTTTTACAATAATATTAGTTTGGATTTTTCTCCATTATACAGTATTGTTTAATAGTTAATTTAAACATTTAATAAAAATATGTAAATTGTTACACATTATTATCATGTTAATTATAATAATGTTGAATATAATTCAGATTTCTAATATAATTATAAATAAAACTTCAATTTAGTAGGTATTCTAGTATCCAAGTCGATAGATATTTAAGATGGTATATATTATTTATGTGTAATATACTAATATATTATATGGTTAAAAATTTAAATATGTTTTAGGTAATTCAGTGTCTCATAATAAGCCATTATCAACAGAATCACCAGGTATTTCATATTATTATAGTGATCCTAGAAAAAGGGTTTGCTTATCAGTAAGTCCCAGTACATCAAACAAAATACAGGAATTTAAAAATGCTGGTAAGTTTTGTATTTTTTATACTAGCAATATATTATTTTTTTTTAATGATATTGTTTCAGATCAAAGTAAAGCAACACCCGATAGTATAAAACATACTGAAATTATCAGTACATCATCGTCACCATTTAAGGTCACTCGTCATGATGAAAATTATATAGCAAGTACTTCTCAAACTACTCAAAACAAGAAGATGAATAATAATAGTGGTATGTTTATTTATATTGATTTGAGGTACTTATAGGAGTCTTTTATATCAATAAAAAATCCCAAATATATTTTCTTTGTAGGTCCAAAAAACTCATGACGAGATTTTAAATAATATTTAAATATTTATTGATTTACTTAGTATTTTGAATTCTAAAGGTTAAGTTACTTACAATTTTAAAATATTTTTTTCTAGATTGGTAATATAATAAATTGAATAATATTTTAATGTTATATGTATTTATATGTATTATACATTTATACCTCATAATATATTTAAAATGTATAGGTATCAAATATAGTGCACTACTATAATATAATGTAAAGTAATTCATTAATATAATTTAAAATAAAATATATTATGACACTTCTTATATAGTTTTTTATAAACTCCAAAAAGTATACTTAGTTTAATATTTATTTTCTATTTTGATTGGTATTTTATATTAGGTCTAAAAAAAATATAAAGGTTTCAATAACTAATTTAATTTATTTTACATTTCATTTAGATACCATTGAAAAAATGAACCGTAACGTCTTGAGTTTGAAGTATGAAATTAGATCTCTTCACGAAAAAGTTGACAAACTTGATGAAATAATTAGAAACTTCACAGAAAACAACAATGTTGGATATAACAGAGATGTCGGTAGTTTTGAAGCAGATTCATTTCAAACATTGTTAAGCAGTGATTTTCCTTTAGAAGATGAAAATGCTCTTCAATCATTCGAAAATAAGCTATTAGACAATAGTTTTAGGTTGCAAATGGTAAGTTGATACATTTTTAATTGTATATGTTATATTTCTTTTGATAAATGATAAATAATATGTATTTGATTTGGTGACAAATTATGTAAATTATAATATTTAAATAAGTAATCACATAATTTTATGTTTTAGGTTACCGAACTTAGCCGTTATGTGCGAAATACGTTGCCGAGCACCATTCGGTCCATAATGCGTTTCCTGTTCAAAGATTCATTACTTCAAGAATACAGTTATAAGGGCCAAAAAAAGAAAAAAGTGTTTTCAACACTTGGAGTTACCTCTATTATATTTGGTATATATTTTACTGACGAAAAATTATTATGATAATATATATATATATATATATATATATAGGAATATTAACAATGAACTTTAAAATTATAGATGCTGTGAAAAACATGAAGCGTTATCATAAGTATGACAAAATTGATGTGGAACAACCTATGAAAATTTTTATTGCTGGTGCAAAATTTAGGGACAATAATAAGACTTCAGAATAAGAAATATCATATTTATATAATTCATATTATTAATAAGTATTAATTATGTGCAATAATAAACCTATATAAAAATAAAAATTATTTACAATTAATATTATAGTATACATTTATTAAAAATATAAATTTATTATTTAGAAACTAACAATTTATTGTTAAATTATAAATAATAATATAAAAATATAATTATGAGAATAATATAATTATATTATTATAAAAATAATATAATAATATAATAATATAATTATAAAATAATATAATGATATTATTAAGTAATGTTAATATAATGTAACTTTGGTGGCCAACCATTATTATATAAATAATATTATAACATTTTTCTAATTAAAAAAATGGAGAAAAAAAACATTTATATAATCATGTTCATTACTCGGAAAATATTTTTTTTATGTCATATTAATATTTTTATTTATTTTTATTTTATTTTATTTTAATTTCATATATATATGAAATACTGGGCCCCACTGAGAAAACTCGTGTGGGGGCCCAGGAGTTCGAATAATATAATTACATTACAGATAACAGGAACATGGTAAAAAAGAAAAAAAAATAGATTAAAAATTACAAAATTAAATCAGCGTATGAAGATCTAAAGTGTGTACAATTTATGTTACTTAATACTAATTTACACAGTTTGAATAAATACAGTGATATCATTATACATTATATTCATAAGGAGAGTCCAATAGCCACTGTAAAATGCTTTTTTTAAATAAATTTATTGGGAGGTTTGTTATAGAGGATGGTATTTCGTTATATAGTTTGGTACCGATTATTTCAAAATATCTGTTAGTTGTGGTTTTTTTTTATTTTTTTCTACAAGAAAGTGGTTTTTCGCGTATCTTGTGTTTACTCCATGCGCTATTGGTTGCAATAAATTTTGATTTTTTAAAAATATAGAGGTTATTTTTAAATATATTTTCTTAACAGGAAGGACATTTAGTTCAGTATATAAGTTTTTTGTTGGGTGCATACGGTCTTTATTGAGTAATAGTCTAATAATTTGATTTTGACAGATTTGCAGATGACTTATAGTATTTTGGAAAGCACCACCCCAGCCTATTATACCATAAGAGATTATTGATTCTACCAATGCGATATAAACTTGACGTAATTTTGGTACTGTTAGAACTTTATTTAAATTTCTTAGTATGTACATCATTTTTCGAAGTTTTTTTCGTAATTGTTCAATTTGAGTTTTCCATCTCATATTACTACTAATTTCAATACCCAAATATTTAAAATTATATTCTATATTTATTGATTCACAAAAGCAATTTTTTTCTAACTGTGTACAGGTGTTATTATGAATTTTTATTTTTGTTTCAGTTCGTAGTCTATTATCTATTAAGGCATGAGGTACAACACATGTTTTTTCTAAATTTAAAAATAGATTATTTTCAGTTAACCATTGTTTTATCAATTTTAAATCTAATTTTATCATATTAAATATTTCGTCCCATGATTCACCTGAACATAGCATAACTGTGTCATCTGCATAACAAATTATTTGACTTTTTAAGGGGAGTGAGTGAATACCATTTAGCTGTATGTTGAAAAGTATCGGGGAGATAACTGTACCTTGTGGTACACCACATTTTACAATATTTAGAGAACTGATTGATTCATTTATTTTAACACACTGTTTTCTATCACTTAAGTATGAACGGAGTAGCTGTAAAGCTCTATCACGCAATCCTAGTTGTTCTATCTTGTGTAAAAGTATGCTATGATCAATAGTGTCGAATGCCTTAGCAAGGTCTAAATAGACCGTAGCACATTTTTTACTTTCATCTAGTGATTTATAAATAAATTGAGTAACTTTAGCGATGGCTTGATCCGTGCCTTTACCTTTTTGGAAACCATACTGAGATTGATGTATAACTTTGTTTGATTCTAGAAATGTGACAAGTCTATCTTTAGTAATTTTTTCAAATATTTTTGCAATATTTGAAATCATTGATATTGGTCGGTAGTTATTGATTACATTTGTATCACCTTTTTTGAAAATTGGTGTGGCGGTAGACATTTTGAATAAATCTGGTACTGTAGCATTTGAAAAACTAAGATTATAAATATGTTTTAAGGGGGAGGCTAATGCGAGTTTATTTTCTTTCAATAAGTTGACCGTAATACCATCTAAACCAGGCGAAGAACCATTTTTTAGTTTTGAGATTTGATTTATGATTTCAAGTTCCTTTGTGGGAATAAATAGACTAAGGATAATTTTATTAGTGGTGTTACTATCTGAAACAGTAGGTAATTTTTGAATTACATTTTGTTGATTTTTTAGTTTGGTGAGTAAATCTGATGCCACATTAATAAAGTAGTCATTAAATTTATTTGAGATAATGTTTTCATTTTCTTTTACATTTAATTCAGTACCATTATGCATTATTGTATTTATTGTACGATTTTGTTTGTTTCCCCTACCGATAAAATTATTAATTAATTTCCAACACATTTTAGGGTTCCCGTTTGCTTTTTCTAATTCCGATTTATAAAATAAATTTTTGGCATTTCTTATTAATTGTGTAACTTTATTTCGGAAATTTTTATAATATTTTTTTAGATTTTCATTATTATTATGTTTTTTTACTTTGAGGTGAAGTTGATCTCTATCCCTAATTGCTTTTATTAACTCAGTGGACGCCCATGGTTTTATTTTCTTTAATTTCGAAGATATTTTAATGTTAGTAGATGCCTGTTTTATTAAGTCATTAAGTATGTTAATGAAAGATTCAGTTGCATTATTTGTATCAGAGTGTTTTAAGACAGTATCCCATTTTTGACTTGATATTAAATTTGATAATCTTGGATAATTTATTGTAGTGATTGAGAGAGGATCTGGTTTATTGTTTCTATTACTTATTACATTTCCAATACTAAGAAGTATTGGATAATGATCAGATATTGTAATTGGACAGACTATTGGTTTCGAATATTTTATTGTTTTACTTTTCATAAATATATGATCGAAGCAAGAGTTAGAGATATGTCTAGTGACAGTATTTATCATTTTAAAATATCCAAATTCAGCTAAGAGATCGAGGTATTTATTTGAAATCGACGAAGTACGTAATATATCTACATTTATGTCCCCAATTAATATCTTGAAGTCAGCAGTTAACTTTTTGGCTTTTTCCAACACGATATTTTGTAATTCATTTAAGAACAACTCAACGTCATTGTTAGGGGATCTGTAAATTGAGTAGATTAAAAAGCTAGTGTTCCATTTTTTAAATTGAAATTCCAGGACAGTTTGAGATTGTGTTTGTAATTCTAAGGTGGAGATTAAAGTTAAGGAATAATTTATATAGACTAAAACACCATCATTTTGGTTTTTATTTAATTTAGTGTAGTATATGTAGTAGTTTGGTAATTGATAGATATCAGCATTAACATTATCTCTACCTAACCATGCTTCAACTAGTATAATTATGTCATATTTTATAGGCGAATTATCCAATAATATACAGAATTCGTCAAAGTGCTTTTGAACACTGCAAATGTTAATTGCCATTATGTTACATACATTATCACTGTGGATTATTGATTTCAGGTTGTCGATATCACATATGTATGTTTTAGTTTCATTTACATTGGGTAGAATTAAATTTTCATCGCATATTGAATCAGTCATTAGGGTAGGTAAGGTATATTTCGAAGTATTAAATTTGGAATTTCAGTGAATGGCCATATAGTAGTATTATTATTATAAACATAGTACAGTAGATAAAGAATTCTCATTAGTAAATTTAACCTACAGTTACAAGATAAAGAATACAATTTATTAGGAAGGTACAAAGTAATAGTTGTGATATACAATCGACTATGTTTGGTTTCAACAATAGAAATATTGACGAGGCTTAATGAGTTATAACAATTTAAAGGTGGATAAAATAAAAAGACAATTGATAGCATCTTAACTAATAAACGGGAAAATAATTGAGTATATAACATAGGTAATTATCGGGTATTTCAAAAGTGACTTACAAGGTTGCGAATTACATGCGTTCAATGTCATCGGTTGATCTTATCCTGGTTATTTTTGAATTTTCATTTTTTCTTATTAGGATATCCCCGTTTGAGATCCATACGAATTTGTAGTTGTGCTCTTTCCCGGCAGCCCTTGTTTTGGAATGGAGTATTCGTTTTTCTTTGGTCAAACGTTCATTTATATAAATCTTATTTTCTATTTTCCAATTACTCGATAGCATGTTAGCATTTAATTTCTGTGATTTAGATGCACTTATTAATTTTTTTCTCATTTCAGTGGTTTCGAGTTTGGCGATTATTAATGGCGGTTTATTCTCAGTTTGATTTATTCTTGAAGCTTCTGTGACATTTATAGCAATATTTAGTTTTTTAGCAATTTCTTTAACTTTTGTAATACAGTTTTCGTTGTCGGTTTTTGGTACGCCCGTGATTTCAATACCAATGCCCATATTGGTTTGTTCGATTTTTTCAAGTTTTTGTTTTATTTCAAGTATTTCGTTTGTTAATCTTGTATTTACATTTTTTATATGGGCGTTTTCGGTCCTTAGATGGTTCATTTCTAATAAGGTCGCATCCAATTTTTTATTGAAGTCATCAAATTGCAAACCCATAAAGGTAACTGAACTGATCAGCTCTTCCATTTTTTCCTCTAATTTATTTGGATTTATTTTATCCGATTTTGGTGGAGGGTCTGTACAAGTTTGGCAAGTGAATCTCGTTCTAGAGTTTTTAGACATTTTTGCGAAGTTACTCTCAGTGATACCGACACAGTAGAAGTGAATATTGCTTTTACATTCAGAACATATTAGAATATCTTCTTTGTGAGTCAACGTTTTATTACACTTTGTACATATCGTAGGCATTTTATTTAGGTAGTATATAGAACGCGTATAATATTTTATCGAATTTTTATAGAGTTTGTACTGAACAAAGTCCAATACGGCGAAGCGTAAGTTTCGGAGCGCGATAAAATGTATACGTGCGCACTGTACGGTGTCTAAACACGAACTGAATATGTTTTTGCTATCTGGGTACATTTGCGAAAAAAAAGTGTGGCTTAGTTTTAGTGTGCAACACACGCTTTTTGTTAAACGAATTTAATATTTTATAATATCACCAACCCAATAATGCCGATCAATTGTTTTTTTCAACTTTCTTTATTTGTTTTTATTTAATTTAATTTTGTTTCACTTTACATTTTCTTTATTTGTTTTTATTTATCAACTTCAAAATGAGTAACAATGTATTAGGACATTAGTGCTTGTTTTTAACACGTTCAACGCGGATCGTATTTATTAATTAATGTTTCAACTTGGGTACTAAACGGGGGCTTAGTTTTTTGTAAACACGTGCCCACGCTTTCCGGCCAACGAATTAAATAACTTATCTGTTTTCACTGTACACATTTTTAAAATGTTTTTCCATTGACTTCAGAATGAGCGGTCAAATAATCGTAAAGGGGCCCTGTACAGTGTCAGCACAAGGACGGGGTCGTCGGCGAGGCGGCAGCCGAAGTAAGTATTAATTATTAGTGATTATAGTATTAAATGATATTGTGATGTGATCAATATAAAAGCGGAAATTATGTTTACGCGTTTCAGAATGTTATAACTGCCAAGAAATAGGCCATTTCAAGAGGGACTGCGGTGAGTGTTTACTTTACTACAGCGGCGTGGTGGGCGGTGACTGGTGGTTCCCCTGGTAAATGTAATATTATACCTACTCAATAGAGAATTAGTTTACATTATACTTGGGATATTTGCAGTGGCGCATTTAGAAAATATGCGCCCCGGGGCAACGTATTTTTGCCGCCCCTACCCCCCCCCCCTACAAAAAAAAATAAAAATAAATAGTATATGTAAATTTATTAAACATCATTTAAACATTGAGGTTATGTAAAAACTTTTCCTCCAAGAGGTCTTTTTCAGCTTTTAAAATCTTCTTCGTGCTTGTCTAGTAGCAAAATTATTAATAACATGATTATAATTTAGTTTTGTTGTAATGTCGTTTTCAATATTTAGGATTGCCAACGCATTTAATCTTTCCTCTTTTATATTTGATCTTAGGTATGATTTTACTCTTTTTAAAACTGAAAAAGACCGTTCAGTGGAACAGTTACTACATGGTGTACATAATAACATTCTTAACGCAATAACAATGTAAGGATACATTTCAGAAAAATCATTATTTTTGATAAATATAAGCATTTGCTGAATATTTTTAGGTCTTTCATCAACTTTGAGGTTCTTTATATGTGACTTAAAATGAATACATTCATTGGGAAAAGAACTTCCTAAATCATCTACATATATATCTTGAAGACATTTTGCCTGTTCTCTGATTTCTACGCTGTTCAATTTTTCCAATTGAAAGAAAAACGAGTATTTTTCAAATAACTGATCATAGGCTATTTTTCTTTTTTCTAGCTCATTTTTGATTCTATCTAAGATAACAAAATATGTACTTATCTTATAATTTATGTCACTGTTGCTGGCTTCATCATCTATATTTTCATCACTGAATGTTTTTCTTTTTTTTATACGCTTGTTTACTGTGTTCTTAAAATTTCCAGATGAAATTGAAATTGCTAGATTTAAATAACGTATATATTCTTCATCTGTACGAAGGTCATTTACATAAGTTATTAATGACTGATAAATGTCTATGACTGTACCCAAATTAATTTCAACTGATTGTAGTTTTTTACTGCATTTATTAAATCGATTAAGAATATCACCCCAAAATAATGACAAGAATGCCATTTCCAAGGTATTAATTTTTTTAATTATACCTTTGGCTTCGCATCGGGTAGCTGGCCTTTCTGTAACATCTTGTTCAATTTTTTCTAGAGCATTTATGATGGATTCTCTATTTTTATTTAATGCTTTACAAGCATCATCTCGAGCTGACCATCTTGTTTCTGATAAACTTTTTACATTGGAATTTAAAACTTTCCAGCGATGAGTTGAAGATGAAAAGAAAACATATAATTTTTGAAGTAAGTCAAAAAAATGAACCGCATTTTGGCAACAACTTGCAGCATTTGTGCCAACTAAATTAAGTGAATGTGCGGAACAAGGAACAAATTGTGCGTGTGGACTTGACTTTTTAATTCTTGCTTGTAATCCACTATATATACCTGCCATATTACTGGCATTATCATACGATTGTCCTCTTAAATGTTTAAGATTTAAATTATACTTGTCAAAAATTGAAAAGACTGCAGAAGCAATTTGTTCAGACTTATGCCCGACATCTTCTATAAAGCACAAAAATCTTTCTATTGGTTGACTATCTTCATTTACATACCGCACAATGAAAGATAATTGATCTGTATGTGCAACATCGGGTGTTGAATCAACACTAATAGAGAAATATCTGGCCGTTTTTATTTCTTGAATAATGGTTTTCAAAACTTCTTCAGCCATAATACAAATAAACTGTTCATAAGTTTGGTATGATATGTAAGAAGTTTTTCCTTTCCCAGGATTACCATATTTTGAAAGATGAGTAGCAAGAAATGAATCAAACTCTGCAATTAACTCTAAAGCCATTAAAAAATTTCCGTTATGAGGACTTCCTATTTTTGAATCATGACCCCGAAATGGCAATCCCCTTGAAGCTAATGACTTCACAACTGCTACTACTCTCTTTAAAACGTTTATCCAATATAAACGTTCATCATCAATCTGATTAACTAATTGCTTATCAATTCTGCAGTTTACCTTGCTATGGTTTTTAAATTTAATCATACAGTTTCTATGCTTTAATGAATTACTATGTTCCATTATTCGTTCTTCAGTTTTTTTCCATACCGAAAATCCAGTCGTTGCAAAATTAGTTACTCCACCGAATAGCATACAAGGATAACAAAAAAGAGCACCTTTGCTTTCCGAATAGACTAAGTAACTACGTGCTATCTTTTCACCATTTTGTAGAGTTGTTTGAAGACAATTTTTGTTAAAGTATCTAATTACAAAATAAATGAATTAATAAGGTAAAAATATAAAATTTTTTAAAACTTTAGTAGTACCTGAAGAAAGTTTTATTGACTCCATTTACACATTTTGTGTATGGCCTTCTAGAATTGGAAATATTTAGATTTTTCAGATCTTGAGTAAAACCATAACGAGATACAAAATCTCTTAAAGTATCATTTATTTCCCACATGGCTGGATCAGATCTGTTAAGAGGGTAGATTAACAGTTAAAATATAGTATAGTATGATATAGTATAATATTATACCCAGGATAATAAATACTCCTATTATCGCACTCTGAAATTGAATCAGTTTGTTGGTCATTTGTTTTGTTAAGAGTTGACAAATTGAGACCGGTGTTGACCAAGTCAACTATTAAAACAAAATAATGTTAATTAAATAATACACAAACTTTATAGTACTAGAGTTACTTTCAATAGCTGGGGAGTATTTTGATAAACTGTCAACGGTAATTGTTTCCATGGAACAAGAGTTGTCCGGAATATTTTTTTTCATCACTACGCAATAAGTACACAGTCAACTATTATCATTTATTTACTTTTATATTATTACTGAATACTCATTACTAGTAGTCATTAGATGGAATAGACTTTTTAGATTTATACACAAAGTATATAATTTTATATTTAAAAAATAGGTTGTTATTAAAACTATATATTTTTAAAAATGCTAAGTTACTGCATATCTAAGCACTTTACTCAAAATCCAAAATTATTCTAAAATAATAGTAATAACTAAAAATATATACAATTAAAACTTAAATACTTACATTCAATAACTGGTACATGGTCTGGTAAACTGTTAACGGTATTGAGTGAAACATCAGTTGTTTCCATGGAACAAGAGTTGTCCGGAATATTTTTTTTCATCACTACGCAATAAGTACACAGTCAACTATTATCATTTATTTACTTTTATATTATTACTGAATACTCATTACTAGTAGTCATTAGATGGAATAGACTTTTTAGATTTATACACAAAGTATATAATTTTATATTTAAAAAAATAGGTTGTTATTAAAACTATATATTTTTTAAAATGCTAAGTTACTGCATATCTAAGCACTTTACTCAAAATCCAAAATTATTCTAAAATAATAGTAATAACTAAAAATATATACAATTAAAACTTAAATACTTACATTCAATAACTGGTACATGGTCTGGTAAACTGTTAACGGTATTGAGTGAAACATCAGTTGTTTCCATGGAACAAGAGTTGTCCGGAATATTTTTTTTCATCACTACGCAATAAGTACACAGTCAACTATTATCATTTATTTACTTTTATATTATTACTGAATACTCATTACTAGTAGTCATTAGATGGAATAGACTTTTTAGATTTATACACAAAGTATATAATTTTATATTTAAAAAAATAGGTTGTTATTAAAACTATATATTTTTTAAAATGCTAAGTTACTGCATATCTAAGCACTTTACTCAAAATCCAAAATTATTCTAAAATAATAGTAATAACTAAAAATATATACAATTAAAACTTAAATACTTACATTCAATAACTGGTACATGGTCTGGTAAACTGTTAACGGTATTGAGTGAAACATCAGTTGTTTCCATAGAACAAGAGTTGTCCTCAATATTTTTTTTCATCACTACACAATAAGTACACAGTCAACTATTATCATTTATTTACTTTTATATTATTACTGAATACTCATTACTAGTAGTCATAAGATACAATATTGTTATTCACAATTAAATATTATATTAAAAATAAAAGTTATTATAAATAAATATATTTATAGAAATACTAAATAAGTGACTGCCTATCTAACCAATTTACTAAAAAAATACTCATATATTGTAATTAAATTATGCATAAAATTAAAAATTAAATACTTACATTCAATAATTGGTACATAGTCTAGTAAACTGTCATCTGTATTGGGTGAAACATTTGTTGTATCAGTGGAACAAGGTTTGTTTGCAATATTTGTGTTCATCACTACATAATAAGTACACGGTCAACTATTATAAACTGATTCATTGTTATTTATAATGACTTGTAAGAAATTAACTATTTAGTATAGGATATTTTAACTAAGTACCAAAGGTAGCTTAAGGTTTTTTTTTAAATTTAAAGTTACTTAAATACACTTTACGATAAACCAAAAGCAATTAAGTTTTCTAATTGTATTCTTATTAAATTATTTCATGGACCTGATTATTATAGATAAATAGTATTCAAATAAATTTCAAACCGTGTATATTAAAATCATTAAACAGCAAACTTTTATTTGGTTAAAAAAAGAGTGACTAGCTTTTAAATATAATACCTATATACTTCATACTTATACTAAATAAATTAAATAGCAAAATAAAACAACAATTTACCTTGAGTTGTTAATGTTGAAGATTTAAACATCTCTTGAATTTTCATACAACTGTTTAAAAGAACAGCATGTTTCTGTTTTTTTATAAGTGCATTTTTTTTATACTTAGCACCACTTAGCCTTTTTCGACCGTCCATACTTCAAAGTTCAAATGTAAATATACCTAAGACTTAGCTTAGGTACTAGGTACAACGTACGAACAAATAACAATATACAATGTACTTACAATTTAAAACTAAACACAGAGATTTTAAGAAAATCTTATCATATCTTATAAAGTTATAACAGTCAACAGACGAAAGACAGACGACAGTTATGAAATCAGGAATGACCAAACATTTTCAATATGAAGAATGAACAATCAAAGAAACAACTATTTTTAGAATACACAATAAACACAGATAACCCGGTACGAGGACCCATTTACGTTATCGATGTTATCGCCATCCCGCATCGGACATCCAACATAATAAATAATAATAATAATAGATTTATGTTTTCATAGCCCATAGGCAGTCTGAATTTATAACATAACAATTAACAAACCTGAAATTGTTTAGCGATCAATTTCGTATGTGTAAATGATTTATGTAAATTACATATTATTTTCAAATTGCTTCATATTTTGTTAGGTACCTAGCGGCTAACATTACTTTAGAACAAATTACAAAATTATATATTTTATATTATTATAATTTTTAATAAATATATAGGTACAAAACCTGCCGCCCCTATAAATTTGCCGCCGGGGGCAATTGCCCCCTTTGCCCCCCCCTAAATGCGCCACTGGATATTTGTAACTTGCCTCTGGAAAATATTCAGTTCGCCACGCCACTAATTTAACTTGTTTCTCAACAGTTTCTTTATGATTGTAATAATGTGTATTGTAGTAAAACCCAAGGCCATTGTTAGCGGCATGAGACGTAGCGGTGATCGGCCCCGTTCCCGATCACCCCGAAAACCTGCAGCGGCTGTACGTTTAAAAAATATTCAAATCAATGATAATCATAAATCTAATCAATTAAAATCACATTTTTTCAGATAATATCGGAAGAGTCTTACGTCGATGCTGCTCGGCGATGTAAGGATAATATATAAATACTCAAGTCGTCGGTAGGTATTGATAATTCTAATTAAACATATTATTTTCAGGCACCGCTAGCAGAAGGCAAGACTCCAGATCACAGTCGTCCGGCTCCAGCCGTCGCGGTCGGCCGTCCAGCAGTCGGTCGTCGAGCCGTCGGTCGTCGAGCAGTCGGTCATCCAGCCATCGGATACGCCACAACTCTGTGGAGATAATAGTGGTATGTTTAAAAAATATTAAGTTTTTGTATAGATTATCCTAATCAAACACATTATTTTCAGGTCGGCAGAGGGAACCAAATGTCGGGAGCAGCGGCCAACAGTGAGTTTTTAACAGGAACATTTGTTTTCTTACAAAACTTAAATACCTTTGTTTTGTTTTTTTCAGCTGATCAATAAAATCAAATTTTTAATTAATAACAAAACCATGTATTTTTATTTCATATCTTTTCCTCTTTTACTGGGTATATTTAATTTGACACATGTGTGGGTTACACGTGTGTACGGTATGATTGATTTTACTAATTTATCCAAGGTTGTTGGTGAAATGAATGAAAATAAAATGCATGCATGAATATTGACATGTAAGTTTGTAACAAATAGGCCAAAGAGTGTTAAAAAATATGAAATATGTAACCAATTAAATCAATAAAACATAATTACTTATGGTTACACATAATTAGCTCGTGATGATGTTTTTGAGTTAGCCAAAAATAAAATATTTAGAATAGGTGGTAGATGTATAGTAAAAAAATGTAAAAGCTAACTATAAAAGTTAAAGTAAAATAACAGTTTAATTTATATTAATCCTTTACACTTTACAGTTCTATACAAATATATCAATACCAACAATTAAAGGATTTAGTTGGCCAAAAGTAGTATTACCTATTTTATTTGTTTTTAGTTCTTGTACAGTAAGAGTAATATAAATGCTATTTCTACGAAACGCAGGCTCGTATAGAAAATAGGTTATACATGTATTGTAATAGGTGGACATTATGGATACAATTCCAGATTCAATTCCAAACATTAATGTAGCCATGGGATATTTCTCTAGTAATTAATATGAATGTTCCATTTATGTATTTATTTATTATTACATAATATTATGATTATGTCAATACAACTGGTAACATTACAGCACCCGGTGTCAAAATAAAGTATTTAGTTTTACTGGTCTCACTGTTATGTAGTATTGTACCCATTTGAAACGTTTAACCTAAGAACTACTTTTTCTACTTGGACTTAAATTATTATTGAATAAATACACCATCAGCATGTCATTAAAATATTGTGATAGCCATTAAAAAATATACACATAACGAAGAATCAATGCAGACCCCCAGTGAGTAAATAAAACACAATAGATAGGTATTGAAGTTGTGAATATAATAATTAATTGAAACGTTTGGCACACAATATTTTAATACATAATGTAATGAACCAACACTCGTCAGTAATTAATTATGAATACAATGTAAATGTTACATTACATAATATAATTATTATAAGATGGTGTTTAAGCTTTTGGCATACTATAAATTATTACATGTTACGATTTACAAAAGATAACAATAATGACTATGATATGATGTGTTTAATATAAATTTCAATTAATATGAAACGTTTAACCTAAGAACTACTTTTCCTACTTATACTTTCCTTTACTTAAATTATTAGTGAACAAATACACCAACAGAATGTCATAAAAACATATCACATGCACTCCCCCAGTGAGTAAATAAAACACATTTTAACAGCAACATTTGTTTTCTTACAAAACTTAAATACCTTTGTTTTGTTTTTTTCAGCTGATCAATAAAATAACATTTATACAAGTTACATGTCTTTTTATTTCATATCTTTTCCTCTTCTACTGGGTCTATTTTTACTAATTGATTTAAGGTTGTTGGTGAAATTAATGAAAATAAAATATTGACATGTAACAAATAGGCCAGAGTGTTAAAAAATATGAAATATGTAACCAAATAAATCAAATAAAACATAATTACTTATGGTTACACATTAGCTCGTTCACCAAAAATAAAAAATTTAGAATAAATAGTAGCTGCACAATAAGATTTACAATAACTGTTTAATTTATATTAATCATTTACACTTAGTTGGATACAAATATGAAATACAGTTAGTTTGCCAAAAGTAGTATTACATATTTTATCTTGTATCAGAATTTTTTGTATTTTAACTAACTGTTTTTTACTTCTTGTAAAGTAAGAGTAATAGAAATACTATTTCTACGAAACGCAGACTCGTATAGAAAATAGGTTAAACATGTATTTTAATAGGTTTAAAAATATTCATGTAGACATTATATGGGTCCAATGCCAGAATTCAATACCAAACATTAGAATAGCCAATTTTTGGTCAGATAATTAGTATGAATGTTCCATTTCGGTATTTATTGGTTATGATTGTGTCAATACAACTAATACCATTACATTACCATTTAAGCATCCGCTGTCAAAATAAAGTATTTAATTATTTACTGGTCTCAGTGTTGTGTAGTATTGTTGTATTGTGATGTACCTATTTGAAACTTTCAACCTAAGAACTATTTTGTCTATCTGTAGTTTTCTTCACTTAAATTATTTGTGAACAAATACACCATCAGCATGTCACATCCACATAACGAAGAATCAATACAGTCCCCCCAGTGAGTAAATAAAACACAATAGATATTGACGTTGTGAATATAATTAATTGAAACGTTTGGCACATAATATTTCAATACATAATTAAATGAACCAACACTCGTCAGTGATTAAAACAATTTTAAAATTAATTGCAATTTGAGTATAGAATCTAATACAAATTAAATTTAATACAATGTAAATTAATTAACAGCTGAAATGTTACATTACATTATTGTAAAATGGTGTTTAAGCTTTTGGCATACAATATATTAAGCTGATATTCAATAATATACATTTTACAATTTACAAAAATACAACTATTGAATATAAAACATGAATACAATTTCAGTTGAATGCAATCGATTGCAAATTATCTAATAACAATACAAATGAAATAAAATTTCAATTATGAATACACAATATAAATAAAAAGTTAGTACGTTACATGTTATAGATTATTATTATACATTGTTATTATGATCTGACTATGAAATGGTGTTTAATATAAATCTGAATTAAATTAGTTGAAATTTATAAGCAAATCATAATGAAATAAAATCTCTTAACATATTATATTATTTTTATATTATTTTAAATATTATTATTAATTATTAATGTTTGACATTAGTTACAAACTCACTATAAATTCACACTATAGTGAATTTGCATCCAGAGAGAACCACGTGGAGGTTGTCAAACTTTCTCTCCGTTCAGCCACAAAGGCTAGGTCCACAAAGGCCCGAGAGCCACATGCGCTAGGTCCATAAAGGCCCGGTCAACTCAAGGTCGGTCCACGAAGGCCCGGACCGAGGACAAAATCATACCAAAGTCAACCAGACTATCACCATCATCTAGAATCGATCGTCGGACGTCACCTAGAATATACTTACCACTTATTGAGTTACAGAACTTCCCTGTACACGATGTTCTTGGTGACGAATCGCCCGTAGTCATCGGCGTACATGCCGACTTTCACGGACTGTGCGTTTCTCACCGGGGGCGACGTCAGAAGCAAAACTACTCTGTCGAACGTCTGACCCTGCGACTTGTTGATGGTCATGGCGAACGACAACCTCACCGGGAACTGAACGCGCTTCAGTGGGACGGGCACGTCGTCCTCACCGCTGGAAATGAGCGGTATCTTGGGCAGGATGATGTCATCGTCCTGCGGGTCACCGCCCAAAATCCTCGCCTTGAAGTTGTGTTGCCGCAGTTGGGTTACCACCAACCTCGTACCGTTGCACAGTCGTCTCTTCGGATCGAGATTTCTGAGCAACATCACGATGCACCCCACCTTCAACTCGAGCCGGAACGGCGGCAGGCCGTCCGGTACCAAAGTGTTGAGGAACTCTGTTGGAAAATTAGCCACTTCGTCGGCTCCGTCCACCTCCGCGGTGTCA